GATAGCGAGAATTGCAATTTCTGAGTTAATATTTAAAAGTAAACCATTTGCGTTTCCAAAGTGTAACTCCTCGGACGATATGACGAGATGACTGCTAATATAGACCACGACTCCATCATTTTGTGTGTAGTTGAGAGTTGTGGAAATGGCTTTGTAGCCATCTAAAAAGGGTAAGGTAGTTGTTGTTTGCAACCAACACTCTGTTAGAACAATAACATCCCAACGCACTTTAGTTCTTGCAATCAAAGTAAGGAAGCCGGAGAAGTTATGAGATATACTTCTTATATTTTGACATATAATTTTGAGCGACTTCTTGGTGTTGGGATCCAATAGGGAACAGTCCTCGACATCGCAAAGAGCAGATTCGGCTATGGAGAAGGAATCCAAATTGTTTGCAATATTATGTATATCATCCATTTTTAAAGCGTGTAGAATATATTTCCAAGACATAAATTTTCAAAAAAATGTAAACCAATCATAATACGGTGAGCGAAATAAGTTAAGAAATAATTTATCGCTCGAGAAGTAATCATAAAGTTATTAATAAAAGATAAAAAATAAAATTCTCTTTGGGCAGCCCTAGCAATGTTGTGCTTGTTAGAAAACAACATTTTCAACTCAAATTGGTTTCTACGCACTAGTATAAAAAGTAATAATTTCATAATTAAATATTTTCTTTCCGTGTAACAGCATATATGTGTATAGTGGTTAGTCATTTTAGTATATAGGATTGAGTAGCTTCCTTTGTTGTGTATAGTAACGTTGCCAATATGATGTAGTATATCTTGTGTATACGTAGTAGAATAGAGATACGTACGCGTGTAATGTAAGAGTGTGTAGATTAGACAGTAGTGTATAAGTGTAATAGGCACATAATAACGGGATAAAACAATGGAGAAAAAACTTAAATAACAAATATTGAAATTAATAACTACAGAGATTAATGAAAGAACGTAAGAGTAAACGATAAGGCTTAGTCATGATTGCCTTCGTAGTTTCGTTAGATCCTCTTCATTGTCTATTCGTATGTAGTTTTCGCCATGTGCCTTACGTAGATATACTTTGCCCCTGACCGTCCAGCAGTATGCGAAGTCATTAGTCTTAGCGAAGTCTCGGGCCAAAAAGAATAACTTTTTAACTTTCTGGGTCAAATTTTCGGAGACATAAATAGGAGTTGTAGGGCCTGGAAACTGCAGATGCGAAGAATTTAATTTGCTATCCTTACTTCCTTTATTAAATTTTTTTATACACTGTAGCATAGCCTCCTTTCGCAAAACAGAGTTGAATTCAACAATGATTGTACTATTTTTACTTTTGTTGTTAATGCGAAATATGTCCCGTATTTCTGAAGGTTGAATGTGGTGATCGAGTACTTTCCCAACGTTAATAAGACAATTTACTAAATATTCTTTAGATTCTCCAATTTTCTTGGGAATATTTTTAATTTCCAGGCAGGCCATCCTAATATGTTTTTCCATGTTCTCCAATTTCGCCTCAAGCGATTGTATGTGGTCGAGATTCTTTTTTTTTTTTTTTCCGATTCTAAGTTTTCTATTTTAATAATAATATCGTCATATTTTTCAGACAAGAGGCTTTGGAATTTACGAATGTCTTCATTTTGTTCTTTAATCTCATTAATATTCGACATTAGTGAGTTAAAATTAGTGTGAAACAAGGACAGGAGTTCCAATTTAAACGCCTTTAGCTCTTCAGTGTACTCCCCATGGTCACGTTTTCGCTTGTTTCTGTTACTAGCGTTGTCAGTCGATCCTTTTGTGCTTGAGTCCGACTCACAGTTCGAGCTTTGCAGGTCACGGGGTGGGGTTCGCTTGAGTGGCATGATTCTATAAATTTCAGCGGTAGATGGAGAAAAAGTTGCGTTCGTGATCGACGATTACGTACGTTGTGAGAAGTACTAGGAGCTCAGGTGGTACGACCGATGTGTGACAGAGATGAGTTCAAGTTGGGTCGTTCCTAGGGGCGGTGCTAAGCGTTCATTGACGGATGAGTCACTGTGCCCAGTCAGTAATAGGGTCATAGATCGGTGCAACTCGATGCGCCTGGTACTTTAAGTTCTTCGTAGTATGCGCTCCTAATTCATAGTATAGAATGCAAACGGGCCGTACCTGAAGGCGGTGCTAGGCAATGATTGATAGCTGGTTTACTATACACACCACTAAATAGAGTGGTGACTCGGTGTTGGATACTCCTGGTACTTGAATTTCTGCGTGTTATGCACTCCTATTATTTAATGGTAATAAATCGAACGATTTAATAAATAAAGCGATATGAATTGCACTTAAAACACGTCAACACGAAACCGAGGTCCGGGAGGAGAGCCATTGCTACTTATTAAAGATCAAAAAAGTGATGGTTTCCTGCCAAATTGACAATTTTTGATGGATATTTCAAATAGTAATCTTGTATATTTTTTTGTCATTTATGTCAATTGTATCTTAATTACCTACCTCCGAAAATCAGAGAACTAATCAACAGCCTATTCGAATATTGTTCTTCTTTAAATCGTCAGATGTATACTAAGTTACTAGCGATAGTATTTCTTGAAACAACATTTAAGATTTTAGAATTTACATTAGATCCCAACTCATTTAACGCTGCGATCTAACTAGTCGATTATTGTAATGCTAGTACAACACTTAACTTTATCCAGAAGCTTGCCTTTAAGACTGTTAATCGTACAAAGAATATTTAACATGAGTGGCTTAGCGATTGGCTTCTGCACTAGATTTCGCGGGTAAAATCGGGATAAAATCAGCCAATACCATTAACAATATGATTCCCATGTTGTGTTGACCTCCCCCCCCCCCCCCCCCCCCTAGTGCAATAAGGTCAGGACAAGAAGTTCAGTCGTAATATATTAAAAATATGATTATTTCTTATCTAACATATTCATTCCTTCAATACTGATTTCGTCTCCTAAGGCCGCTATAGTTTACATATAAGAAATAGCTTTAGTTATTTTCACAGCATCTTATCGTACGGCATTTTGTTATGGGGTAGTGCATCTGATATACAACAATATTTATTTCATTAGATACCATATTACCTTTTAAGCAACTGTTTTGTTGATATAAATTATATATTTGTTCTTCAAAAACTAGCTGTCCGAGCAATCTATAAAATTATATAAAATATAATATATAATAATTATCCCGGAGTACAGTGAGAGATCTTTTTAAACAGATTAATATACTCACTGTTGCGTTCCCATATATTTATTGTAATATTTTGCATGTTAGACATAAACTTAAATGTTACAGACCGAATAGTGACAGACATAAATTGAATACTAGAAATAAGGACAAATTACCTACACCATTATTTCGGCTATAAAAACTAACAGGTCGTTCATGGGGCAAAGTGTGTGCATGTATAATAAAATCTCACAGTCGATATTAAGTCTGCCTCTTGATCAATTTAAACGCAAAATTAAAAGTCAACTTATGGCTAAGGCATATTACACCATTGCGGAGTATCTAGACGACGTTAATGTAATGTGGGGTTAATTCTGTTGATACTCACGCAGGCCAAAATAAGACCTGTCCTATTATATTATAAAGTAATCATTTAAAAAAAAGAGTAAAAGTTGAGTTTCTTGCCGGTTTCTTCTCAACAGAAACTGCATTCCGAATCGGCGGTAACTTACGAACGTATTAATTTTTTTGTAAAATTTTGACGTTTTATAAGAACGCGCAAGCGTGTATATGAATAAATATATTTTGATTTGATTTGATTTGCCGTCATTAATGTCCGTTGTTAGTCTTTGCTCCTGCACTGATATGCTTACTCGAGTTGCAAAGTGCAACACACAGCCTGACACAAAAGAGGGGTAAAGTTAATTATTTATAATTTTACGTTCCGTCCGTTGAGTGAGGTAGCCGTAGGATTCCGATGTCGGTGGTTGAAAAACCCCTGCAACATCTCTGGTATTGAGTTTCCATATGTGTACATCCAGCTAGAATTATCTCTAGAATAAGACAGGTAAAATTAATTACACCTATACTCTATGGTCATAAAAAAAAGTAAAGTAAAGTAACAGCCTATACATGTCCCTCTGCTGGGCAAAGGCCTCCTCTATACAGAGGGTATCAGGGCATAGTCCACCACGCGGCCCCACTGCGGATTGGCGTTATTATTTCGAAAATATGCAGGTTTCCTCACGATGTCTTCCTTCACCGCGATCATGTGAAATATTAATTTATAAACTTATAATTTCAAAAGTCAAAATGCCGTTGATACATGAACCCAACTATTCGGATTAAATCAACGCTTTTGTGAATGCTTCAAACTTTCCGTGAGGTAGGTTGCATTGCTTTATCAAAGTACAAATAATTACTGCACCAATTTTCCAGTTTTTGCTGCGGTAGGACGACGCAACAGCTCCGGGTGATGCAGGAATAGCCAGGTTGGTCCGGGTGAGTACCACGACCTCACAGAAGGCCGGCGTTAAGTGGAAGTGTCATACTTCTGTGTTTCGTCTGGTGAGCGAGGTAACCTGGCCCCACTTTTTTAAAGGGTGGTAACGCATCTGCAACCATATGGGTGTCCATGGGCAACGGTTATCACTTTACATCAGGTGAATCGCCAGCTCGCTTGCTATCTTCACACATAAAAATAAATAAATATATTAAAATGAATTGTATATAAAATAAATTAGGATTTACAAAACTTTTACTGTACTTTAACAAAACTGAACGTTATTAGCGAAGTTTATTACTTGATGAGTGTTTAAAAACAAAGCTTTTCAATTGTTTCATCTTGTAATAAAAAAGCCCACAGCACATTATACAAACTGCACGTTTTTCTACAACACTATACGTGTCAGATGAGATAATTAACCTATAGAAAAAAAAAAAACACCTGCCGAGCTTCGTATATAAAATGTGTGTTTTCCTAATACAGAGCAGACTAGTACCAAGCAAGGAGGTAGTAACACTTTTGCGTTTGCTATTTAAATAATACATTTTTGTAAAGACAGTATGGCGTCGCTTCACTTTACGTTTCTTTTCATTGGATTTATTGCAGTCAGTTTGAGACATGTTCGCGTAAGTATTTTTGAAAGTATTTTATACTGTCGCATTATGATTTCAGTCTAAAGTATAGATGGAAAGCAGTATCATGATAAGTAACAAAAACTAAGAAGTACTGTATATTTTTGGATTTTCATTCTTTATAAACGATTTCATTCTTTATAAATGTTTAATTCATTTAAACAAAAAAAAAAGAATAAACATTTGTTCCCCTTGCAAAGAGGCATTCCAATCTCAACCCTGGGAACAGTAAGAATTTGTTGATGGTACAAAATGAAACTATAGAATTTAATAACAAAAGTATTTTGTAATAATAACCTTTTTGAATATTCAATTCTTTTTAAAATCAAGCGACTGTATAGATGGCCAGCTTACATATAATATATCTGTATTATTATATGAAGACGAGAGCATTTCTTTTGTTTATATTTTTATATTGGCTGACGAGCCACGCTCTAGATTAAAAAGCTTAAAAATTCATTTTAATGAAAACGGTTTCAATTATAATATTCTTTGGCTTATTTTGACTACATTTAAATATTTACAGTTGTTCAAATATCACAGATTACTTTTATTTTAATATGTCACTGGTGATAAATATAGTTCTGTTATAGTTAGGAATATTAGTAACGGATCATTAGTAATATGGCTAGACACAAATAAATAAGAAATAACTTCTTTGTAAAAAACTATTATGGTTTGTCATTTTACACATTAAATATTTACGGAGATAGAGAAACTTGTAAGATCATTGGGTCCAATTCTAGTTGTATGTGTTTGTATAAACATATATACGGGTTTTCTTTTTTTATGTATGTCAAAAAAAGACAGTTTTGCCAAGTGCATGATGAAAAGACAAGTCGCCAGTTACGTTTGGGCCCAATAACTAGGTAAAATGTGAAATATTTTCTCCGTTTTATCGGACTTTATCGCTTTTAATTCATACTCCATGTTCTAATTGAAAATTCATGTATTTTAAACAGATAGGATAACACTATGGGTTGCTAGGTCGAGATTTGCGGAGGTGTTTGGCTATAAACAAATTGTGTTAGTTGCATACTTTTCGTTTGTTAAAGGCATTCACGGCAGAGGAGGTCGAAGCGATAAAGTTAGGACTGCGCCCACTCATAGCTGAGTGTGCTAAAGAATTCGACATCGACATGGAGGAAATAAAAAAGGCGAGGGAATCTAATAACATGGAATCCCTAGACCCCTGCTTGTTCGCTTGTTTTGGCAAGAAAATTGGTGTGGTAAGTTAATTGAACGATTCGCAGTGTGGGAGAAAATATTTTAGGAATCGAATTACAGTGCATATTCCCGTTTTTGAAAGCTGCCAGCAGTTGCCAAGGTTTGGCTTCGACGCCGGGGGTCATTGATTCGATACACTAGGGACAACTATTTGTGGACCCCCGTTTTTTGGGATTTGGGTATTGTCCACATGAAATTTATGATGTCCTACAATGTTATCCTACGGCAATATTTACAAAAAAAATGTTCAGTGTTTATGTAGGTACTTGAAGAATGTCTTAATCTTATTCTATTTAACTTTGCAAACCTATATTATTCTACATTATATTTTATTTGACTACTGGATCGATGTCAACTTTTGCAATATGAATACTTTATCTTAAAAATACATATAAAGTTTCGAGAGAAGTGAGTCAAGATTTCTTCGCGTGTATTGAATGAATAAAAGATATGAAAGTATCGAACAATTTATTGAAATTAAACACGTGATTGGTAGTTTTGATAAGATCTTTATTGGCCCATTAGCTCAGTTGGTTAGAGCGTCCTGCTAATAACACGAAGGTTGCGGGTTCGATCCCCTCATGGGCCAGTATTTTTTTTATCGTTTCATTCTACAGCGTTAAATTAAATATATTTTATTAATAAATACATTAATTCATTTTTAAATAATGTTTTGTGCGATTTCTTGTATTTACGTGATAACTACATATGGTAGGTATGCAAGGTATTTTATGGAGACGTCATACTCCGTAAAATATTTATCTATTATATTTAAACACAAAACCAAAGAAAACTGGATAAAATTTGTAAAATAGTTTTGTTTAAAGATTTTATAATAAAATTTACAATAATTTTATACGTCAATTTTATCATAAATATGTGTGCTAATAAAACAAAAACTCTTGAAACTGGCACTATATTATAATTGCTAATCAGCTTTGCTTGAAAATATTCGCTAAACATAAAAATCAAGTATCATTTATAAATTCTTTTATTAGTTTATAACTAGACTAGCGGCCCGCCCCGGCTTCGCACGGGTATTTAACAAAATTTTTAAAAATAAAAATTATCATACACATAAAATATTCCGAATATTTCGACTTTGGTGAATAATTTTATGAATTTCTTCATCTTTTAATGCCATAAATACCCTTGAAATTACGTCATGAAGATCGAAAGACCGCTGACCAGATAATGGTTCCGCTTTAATTACGGGACATTCGAGGTTACACGTAAAAGTGACAAATAAGTCTGGTCTCCCATAGCTTCGGACATAAATCATCCCATCTTTGGTTTGTTGACCGATATTTGATGAGCCAATGTCTTAAAGATGGCAACTCATTTGCAAACCTACAGGTGTTACAAATGTCCATGGGCGGCGGTTATTACTTAACATCAGGTGAACCGCCAGCTCGTTTGCCACTCTATCACATTAAAAAAAAAGCATGTTTTATTATCTTTATTCAATATAGAAGTATTACACTTACATATTGTGAAAAACACTACTACAAAACGGCCAAAAAATTATGTCTGTTTTATGGGAGCCCCACTTATTTATATTTTTTTTGTTTTTTGGTATTTTTTGTTATAGAGGCAACAGAAATTCATCGTTTGTGAAAATTTCAACTGTCTAACTATCACGATTCATGAGATACAACCTGGTGACATATGGACAGACATACGGACATACAGACGGACATCGGAGTCTTAGTAATAAGTTGCCGTTTTACCCTTTGGGTACGGAACCCTGATAAGTCCCAGTAATAATGCAATGGCTTAAAACAGGAAGCTTTAACAATCAACCTAAATGCATACAATTGCATGAATGTCATAGTTTTGTTACGCACAGTACCTTGCTGAGGAATAGTCAAATATTAACCGTCTTTTCCTATTACGACTATTAAGGGATATTTTTATGGATCATACAATCGGTGTAACTCAGAGACCCTTTTAAGTTGGCCGTGTCTATCGTGCAACACTATATCTCTGGAGCCTTTTTAGAATGCCGTACCCAAAGGGAAAAACGGGACCCTATTACTAAGACTCCGCTGTCTGTTTGTCCCTTTGTCAACAGGCTGTATCTCATGAACCATGTTAGTTACACAGTTCAAATTTGATATGGGTATTTGTTTCCTAAGGAGGGTTAACGTCAAGCAGGCGGTTGGTTGTAAAAATATAGGCAAAACCACTTACAACATGATTCATGTTGTGCCGACCCCACCTAGGTGGGATAGGGGCAGGAGGACGATAATAACTTGTCCTCCTTGTATACTTGTGTACTTGTATACTTGTCCCTCTATTTTAAAAGTTCGCGTCAAACGAAGTCATTTGAAAGAGGCTATTGTACTTTCGGATGTTGGTTAAAAATGACCTGATGGTGAATGATTATTTGTAAAAATGTTTTTATTGGTTGTGGCGGCTCCTCAATATTGGGGGGACTAACTTTTCCAGAAGCACAGCACATACCATTTGGTTCATCGACCCATTTTTTGCAGAACACTTAGAGCAGATCTTATTCGTGGCTACGATTTGGACGGAAGACTGTTGAGCAAAATGCATGAAAGCTGATCTGTTACTGTGAGCTCGATCACGAACTCTAGTCGTTGACGTTTCTTATCTTTCTCTCTAATCTCGTATACGTTGGGAACGCTCAGACCTCGATTCCCTAGTGTGAATTTGTATTTTTATATTATTATACTCTTCAAGCCACTGCAAACACTCTACTTGACTCTCTCCGACTTGTAAGACGATTTTCAGTTTCCGGTAAAGATTCCTCATTATGACGTATTTTTAATGTCCTCTCCTGCAAACTATTTCTAGAAAGATGAGATCTTGATCTTTTGGGCATTTTAAAATCATAAAAAAATTAAACTTCCTCAGTATTTAATAATTAGCTAACTGTTGAACAGAAATTACCAGTATAAATATGATTGAGAACTTATAAGAACTACTAAGTCAGTCACTAAGCTGTTTGGATAGTTAAATTACAATATACTAACATTTTTAAACTTGCAATATCTAAGGAATGGAATGTCCGAATTTAATAATTCAAAAAGTTTTTTAAAGATATTGAAACAGTCTTAAAGATGAAGTAATTTATTTTTATAAGGATTAAACCGAGATACAAGTAAACAGCCTTTGTTAGCGGCGGCATTTCAATCAAAATTTTAAAATAAAAGAACACTTGTTGTGGCATAACTATAATAGTTAGACATATGCTGTCGCGACACTTTTTGTAAATAATGATGTGGTCTGCAAAGTCGTAGTACATTACTTTATTCTATCATCAATAGTTTTCGCAGCGCACGCGATGTAAAGATTATTATTGGAGTTTTAGTAAGGATCCCTAATTTTTTGAAAATATTATATAGCCCATGTCAAACAGGGATAATGTAGCTTCTCAACAGTGAAAGAATTTTTCAAATCGGATAAGTAGTTTCGGAGCCTATTCGATACATACAAACAATCAAATCTTTCCTCTTAATATAATAGAATATAAAAAGAAAAGAAGAATAAAAATATAATACGGCGATACCTTGCGAAAACAAAACACGTATGGAATATTTCTAAAATGTTTATGTACATTTTAGAAATATTCCATACGTGTTTTGTTCCTTCAATTTGTTAATTTAAGTGAATATTACACTTATCGGGGTCTGTCAGATAAGATGGTATTCTCAAAGCAAAGCATTATGCAAATTGAGACAAGTATTTGCTCTGATAAACTAAATTTTCGATCAAAGTGCAACACATTATCAAATTCCATTAGTTGCCCGACGTCTGCAAACTTACTTTTATTTATCGTATCAAATACGAAGTTTTTATATATTTATTATTAATTAAAAATTTATTTTGATTGTTAAAAATTTATGTATTTGGTTTACATAAAAATAGAAGTTAATAGGTCTATTCTATTTTCTATCATTTTTAGATTAACGGCAAAGGCGATTTCGACACAGAAAAGGCTACGGGATTGGCCAAAACGTTCGTTAAAGACGAAGAGGAACTGAAAAAGGCATTGGAAACGGTTGAGAAATGCAGTTCAGGTTTGTTATGATATTTTTATATTAATACTAGTGTTGGCCCAGTGGTCGAAATTGAACCATAATTACATACGGTAGTGTCTGCAATGTTTTTTTTAATCAATTTAATGTACAATATAATGTATTTTTATGCATAATTAAAAAAAACATTAGCATTCCGCACTCCTTCTCTATATAAACTATAAGTATGAGAAATTTCATACTCCTCTGTTCACGCAATTTTCGTAAAAAGGTGTATAAAGTTTTTGCTTCACGTATTAATATATAGATTACCAGCTGATCCGGGAAATATTGTTTTGTGGAATTTCGTAAAATCATTTTTAGCTGATCTCTACTCGACGAAAGGAATATTCCTACCAAATTTCAAGTCTCTACGCCTTATGATTCCAGAGATATCGTGATGAGTCTATTATCGGTGAATATAGATTGATATGTCCGGGCACTTGTATTTACATCATAAGTACATAATATTAAACAACTTTATATAGTCTACATACTGACAGCACAAACATCAATAAAAAATATTTAGCATATTCGAACAACCTGGGATCCAAACATTTTTGTTATCGCGGTCCCCAATGTAATTGTTAAATTGAAACATATTCTAAAAAAAAAACATTCTAACATGCAGGGCCCGCAAATCTCAAAGTTGGTTCCATAATTTAAATGTTGTTGCAGTTAATGAAGAAACTTCCAGCGACGACAAAGGCTGTGGGAAAGCCCTGCTTCTTTACAAATGCTTTTCTTCGTACAAAGAACAGGTAAAATTTTAGAATTATGACATATATACATAGTTATGTAGAATACTGATAGTACCCAAAATTATACGATGATATTACACACCATACTAAATGTGTCTTTTGTTACAGCTTGGTTTCTCGCGTTAACAAGTATAGTATACATGCGGTCGAAGAAAATGTTTAATTGAATGTTTAAATGTTTAATTTTATTTAATTGAGTTTATGACTTACTTTAATAGATTTATTAATAAAATATAAATAAAGGCATCAATTTACATATTTTGTTTACTTCTTTTTATGATTGATATCTTTTTAATAAATATTCATTTCATATAAATATTTTAGTGACATTTAATACCTTTATAATGTTTACAAATAATGTGATATAATCATATTAAAACTTTAAAACTTGTATGTATATGTATGATTATGTATTATCAACCGCTCTCATTAATACGGCTGTACGGCACCTTTTTTAAGCTGTATACATTGTTAGAGCCACGTAGCTAGCTGCTTCTGCTGTTGCAAAAATGGGCAGGCACGTCCGAAGTGCAGTCAATGTTGCACGGGTGGTAATCTAAACATCAGGATATTGCCACCTTCTCATATACAAAAAGTTTTAAGCAGCGTTTGATAATTCCAAATGTATATATATATAATACCCTTTGTAATGGTTATGTTATTGCGCACAAAATATTATCATTCCAATCATCATATAACTGCATTATGCTTTATCCAATACCTTTTATCTATTTTAAACACTATTACATCAAATCTCTCGAGTTCTTCAAAACTCACCTTAGTGTGATGAACATTTTTTACAACGTCCAAAACAAAATTGGTTTGATTTTTCTAAGCGTTAAATGTATGACAAAACAATTTTATATTGAATTTGAAAGAATGATATGAATATTGTGCATTGGGGCTTAGGGTCCGGCACCCGAATACGTTAGCTTCCCCACCTTGCAGCAGGGAGGCGTGTGTCTACGAAATAACACCTAATCCACCAGCGCTTTCGGTTCCCTGGGATGAGTACGTTGTTGTCTCCTAGTGCCAGGTTCTAGATTTAGAGGTCTGGAAGTCTCGGGGCAAGAAAGGAGTGGAGACCCCTCGACCCCAAATTATTTTCTATTGGTTTCTGTTATTATTTAATGTAATCATGTTTGTACAAAGTACTGCAGGTAAGAGTAAAACGCGAAAAAAAACATGAAAGGAAAAGTTGTTTACTGTTGTTTACTAGTCTCGATTGGACTTTTTTCCGAAGTCTCTATTGTGGGGGCCCCTCGTTTGTGGACGTCCCGAGGCTGTTGCCCCGGTTGCCCTCATGTAAATCCAGCCCTGCCTAGTGCAACAAGCAAACAGTTAAAAATTAAAGAATGCCGCCTCTAAGGCGAAAAGTGCTTACAGCACAGAACCTGCCTACGAGCACAACCATAAAAAATAACGTTTTTCTCTCTTCTATAACGTTTCCTCAGTTTTCTTCCTCGAATCTTCTTTATCGATAGATTATCGCCGTCAATTTTTCGTCGGTTTTTTAAATTTGAATCAACACGTATTTGGTAAATATGCGTCTGAAATTTTACACTGATTATTTAATGTAATGTTATCAGAACTGATTAAGCGCTAATTGTCCATTTGTATCCCCTTTGCAAAATGTTATATAATTTTTACAAATAGAACGTAACCAATCTCATATTATACCATGCAGCGAGTGGATGACCCATTGTATTACATACAGCTCGAAGTTTATGTCAAATTTATCCTATTATCCACCAAGATATTGCAATATTAACTCGACTCTCTGTATCTTACTTTATTTATGCATTAGTTACTTATCGGAAATGTTTATTTTAAAAACTTATGAAATTACATGAAAAAAAATTATCAGTTATGCACTCTTATTTAGTCATCATAATTAATAGTAATTTACCAATGTTACGTAAAAATCTTAATGTATTCTTCAATCAGGGTGTAAACGAACAGTTCATTATCTTCACAGATCAAGCCCGTACTGGAACCGAAAAAAACATTATATTAGGCTAAAACCGTGTGAATTGAAATATCTTGTTATAAACTCTACATCCCAATATTTGAGCAGGATTTTTAAATTTGTGATCTGTTAAATATGAAATGGTTCAAAACACAAAATTTGTCATTTAACAGGTATCTTCAGTCGATTTCATAACATATTTACCTGCAATGCATTTTCTGTCAGACATTTGTAGGCCAAAGAAGCACGCTCACAACCTTCTTCTCCATCGCTCACTGCTTCTTCATTGACTGAAAATTATCATTACGTGTCATGGGTTAGTTTTCAAACTCGTATTATGATGCCAAGCAAGGAAATAAATCATTAATGAGCTATATAACTTTACAAATGATATAAATTCCAGAAATAAAGCTAAGATAGACCGGGTGAGAAGTTCGGAGAAACATTATATTGAACAAAACATACAAGGATCAAATGTTTCTCTTAATATTCGGTCAAAGCCAGGGCGACATCGGAGACAGCTGTATGGTAGTAAGTTATGTATTTGAAAGAATTACGTCTTCCACTTATTGTTGCGACTAGTGTAAAATTATATACAAACTTTTAAATATGTAAATCAATTCACGCTGGTTTTACGAAAATAATGTCATTTAATTTAAGAGAAATCTTATGTTTATAAGAGGTAAATTAGTTTGAGGTTCTAAAAATTTATTCAATTTAAAAAATAGTGATTTTTTTTTGTGTATATTAGTAGATATAAGTATTGATTTAAATAGAATCACTTACTGTGTGAGCATGAATGGAGGTAATCCCCTAGAAGTTTCAATTCCTCCTCATCATCAAAAATTTTCTTGGCACGTTCAAGCACTGTCTCCTTTTCCAGCATACCTTTCTCGTTCATCTGAATGTTTAATCGTTATTTCAAAAATATAGTGTAAAATATGGAACATGAATTTAAAAATGTTTGTAGTCCCTTTTATGTTCTTCGTTCATCCCTTAGCTTGTATGGAGTTTAATCTTATTTGGTTATTATCATCATCATCTTTCTCCTGCCCTTATCCCATCATAATAGGTTGGGTGGGCACAGCATGTGAAACTTGTTATAAGCGGTTTTGGCTATGTTTTTTACGACGGGCAGGCGCCTGACGTCATCCCCTCTTTGGAAACATTACCCAGATCCTTGATATTTTGTAGGTCACACAAATACTTTTCCCGTGTGAATCGAACCCGTGAGAACCCGTCTAAAGGAACCAGTTCTAAGTTCTAAGTGCGAACATGTCGTCATGTTCGCACTTAGAACTAGATTACTGGTCAGAAATTTCGAAAACCATTTACCTCGGTGCCATGAATAACTTAAACATCGAAGATAAGATGAAAACCATTCCAGTGCATCATCGGAAACCCTTAAATAGGACAGGATTGCTAATGGGGTGCCGAGACTGACGGTATTAAAGGCATATGAAAAATTGATTAAAACCAAAACAATAACTTGGGTATTTCCCATACCTAATATCGCCAGTCACTATAAGGACTGTGGCCAGGTCTAAAACCGGATTGTATTGGGGTTATTAATTTGTTACTAAGGACAAAGTGAGAAAATTGCTTAAGAGCGCAGGACTCCATATAGAGATAGGTCGATAATGAGCAAGAAGAGAAGGATTAGGGCATTTCGGCAGTGGACACACAAGTGCATTACACCATAAGGAATGGAAAGATCCAGTATCCAATGCAAAATTTATGATGTGGGTGATTGCGGGGAATTACTGTTAGTGTGAGTCATGGTGTTATTAATTAACAGTCACTTGTATGAACGTGCACCTTCCATATTTTATTTGCGTCCAGTGGTTAGTGCATCAAGTAAGATTTGTTATGTTGATATGTCCCATGGCAAGGGCTTCCATTTAAATTCAAATAACTTTATTCAACATAGAAGCATTAAAATAAAAGCCACTGATCCGAGAAGAGCCCGTGAAAGAAACTCAGTGGGACATATTTATTTTACCATTACTTGACAAGAACCTTGTTTACAAATGTATTGAAGTCCACTTGAAGGAGCCTGGAGCTACCAATTAATTTCCAGGGTGTGTTATCATTTCAATAATCAGTAATATTATAATAGCCTTTAACACTTAACGTTCCTTTACAAATTTTTTTAAATTTTGAGATTGATACATGGCGAACATTTTCTCGGATTTTGTTGTAAAACGTTTACATTTATTTTATAGGTTTGTAATTTTATTCCTAGAGATAGCTTTCACTTCAAGTATAAAATGGTCAGTACTTACAATGCCTTGTGCTTTAAATATACACGCTAAAAAGCATGAAACGTTCGGGCCAGTAGCAATTTTTTTTGCTGTTAAGTTGCTCACGTCTTCTTCAGTAATATGGTGTTTTTCAATGCATACCATGCCCAGTTTCACGAATGATTCGTGTATTAGGGCTTTCTGTTCTGTTGTCATAGCCTGTTAATAGTTAAAATACTTAAACGTCAATAGAAATCTGGGTTAATCACCACAACACGTAACATCATAAAACATAATTAAAAACATTACAATAGCAGGAATTACTTTATTGGTTAAGGTGTGATTTTTACATGCTGTGCGGTTTTTAATAATGATCACATTGAATTGTTATATACATATATATTTTTCAGTAAGTTAAAGATCATTTGGTACAGGCAAATATCAGTTTTTCGTATATAAAGATTTTACGCTTCCAAGCATCTTTGGGAGGTAAGTAATGGTAGTCGAGCAAAAGGAACAAAGTATAATCCTATAAAAACAACAACTAAAAACGTGCGCATTATTACGAATTCTACAATATTCTTAAAAAGTCAATGTGTGTGACAAATCTTCGGACTAGGAATGTCTTTGTTAAGGAAAAATGTAATAGAAGAAACACAATACCGACCTAAAAAGAAAAGAGTAATCGAGGTTCGTATATTTTAAAGTCAATTTATTTCTTTTCCCTAATACCTATTTAGGTAAATTTATTAGTAAAAGCAAATTCACTTAATTTTCTTAAAAATCTTTATTCAACATGCTATGTCACACACACACATTATCCTAAATTACAGGGCCTGGTAGGGATCAATTAATTTCCAGAGTGTATTATCATTTAAATAATCATAATAATAAAAAAAAAAAATAGTCTCAAAAAATCTATTGATATAATTAAAAAAAACTTACTTGTGCTTGAAACTTCGACAGCACTAATACATAGAAACAGCAAGATAGTAAAACAGTTTTAGGCATCGCGGAAATTAAATAATGAACGGAGAACCAGCTTATACTTGAAAAGCAACTCAACTTTAGCCGTGTAAATTGGAACCATACAGTTTTATACCTCATGTGAAATGAGAAATACAGAAGTTACGATTGTCATTGCATATAATTGAAAGGTTTATTTTGGTATTGACAATGGGCTTAATAAGCGGCTAACCCATTCCAGTCAAACTTGAAAATATACTATGGGAATTAGGAATAAGCGTATAATCGTATGACCTTACCGTTTTCTTCCCTATAATTATCGAGACCATCATGAATGGTCAGCTCATGATTCATTATGAGGTGCACGAGCTTCATAGCGACCGTCAGGACGTTATCGTCGAGTTCGCTGAGTACAGTGTTACTTACCTTTTTATAATGTGGAAAAAACATACTTTTAATAAAAAATTGTTGAACATTGATTTTGACCACTTTTTTACAGTTCAAATTTTATAATTTTGGACGCTAAATAGATGGGGCCCTGAGAAGGCCTTAGGGGTTTCTCCTCTCCCGGAGATAGGTCTTTACCTAAAGATCTGATGGGTGAAGGCAGTTGAGAACAAGGGAAAGATTCCATTGTAAAAGTGATTAGCAAATTTCTTCCAAATTTAAACTTAGGAAGACGAAAGGTATTCACCGTTTATTATGAAAATGGAAATAATAAGGAATTGTAGAATTCCGCAATCCGCAGTGGGGCCGTGTGGACTATGCCCTGATACCCTGTGTATAGAAGAGGCCTTTGCCCAGCAGTGGGACGTATAGGCTGTTACTTTACTTTTTTACTTTTTAAGAATGAACCAGCGGTATTTTACCGATACAACCTAGGTATCTTCCAGAGAGTAGTTTCCATCGTCGTCCCCACCCCCTTCTACAAAAGAAAACCAAAACTTACTATGAAACGGAATTATGCTGTGTTGTAGACTCAGTTTAGATTTAGAATAAAGTTGGTCCCGGCCACCCCGGCCACCTCACTTCGATCACGTCGCTTAACGCAGGACTTGTGTGGACGGCGGGGAAAACAACACTTCGACTAGGGCATACTGATGTTTTTGCTTTCAGTCCCGAGACTATTAAAGCTTCATCTGACGCAGAACCGTGGGCTAGCCAGAACCCACGGTTTGGGCCCTCCGCTGTGGGTAGGGCCGCGCATGTGCTCATGCGTGCGTTTAACTACGACATGTCATCTAAGGGCCATCGAAGTTGCGGTGCGGACCGAGACCCCGATGGCCGTCGACTGTGTTTTTAGCTAATCGGTGGCTGCGGGCGATGAGAACCGCCCTGGAACGCGGGTGTACCTTGTGTACGCGTTGTGTTGGTCTCGCCGTGCTCGGAGGCGAGGGCGAACTATTGTGTTTGTTGGTACACTAGCTGTGGGTGTAGTGTTATCCGGCGGGACCCCCGGCGGTGGGTCCGGCGTATCTAAGTCCCCTTCCTCGACCGGGTCGATGAGGACGTTTCGCGGGCGACGCTTGTTGACGTTCGCGTTTGTGTCGGGTTGGTAATTTGCTGCGCTTACCACCAGAGGGTTGGGATGATGTTCGGCTCTATCGAAAAACCGTTTTGTCAGATCTTTGAAATATTCGCGAATCGTCGGGAGTCTGCAATCGCTGTGCAGATCGACGTTGCGTTGATACCACTGCGCACCGGTTGCACGGCGGATGAACTTATTTTGTACTATTTGCAGCTTGTACAAGCGAGTAGGGTGCGTGTGGGCGAAGATCATGCATGCGTAGGACATAATAGGTCGTACGCAGGTCTTATATAATAATAATTTGTGCCTTAAGGGCATTTTACTTTTAGCGTTAGTTAAATTGTGTAGCCGGCCGGAGACGAACGCGGCTCTATTACGAACGTTATTAATGTGCGTAGTAAATGACATACGCGAGTCGAAAGTGACTCCTAAGTATTTGACCTTTTTCTCCCAGGGGAGCGGTTGGCCATAAAGGGATATTTGCCCCAACTTTCTGCATTGGCGAGGGCCATTATAAAGATGTGACGGGTAAGTACTTCGTGTGAAGTGAATCGCCACACTTTTTTCGGGATTTATTTCTATTCTCCATTTGCGGAACCAATCGCCGAGGCGGTCGGCGGCGCTTTGGAGTCGAGTGGTTAGTATTCTAAGGTTGCGGTCTGAATAAAAGAGCGCGGTGTCATCCGCGAAAAGCGCGAGATTGACGTGGGGGGTCTTTGGGTATGTCGCTCGTGTAGAGCGTAAAGAGCAAAGGTGAGAGGCAGGAGCCTTGTGGTACGCCGGCCGTGAGGCGGCGGCTTGTGGAGAGGGTGCCCTCGACTCGATATCGAAAGGAGCGATTCAACAAAAAGGCCCGGATGGTGTGTACGAGCCTATCTGGCACTTTGAGTGTGTACAGCTTGTAAAGCAAGCCGTTGTGCCAGACCTTGTCGAATGCCTTTGCGACATCGAAGAAAACAGCCCCTGTACTGATATGTTTCGGGTGGTTTAGGCCTTTTAGGATGTGCTCCGTTAGGCGGTATAACTGGTCGGGACAAGAGTGTCTAGCTCGAAAGCCGAATTGTTCCGTGGGCAGAAGGCCGTTGGAAAATACGTGCTCTTTGAGCCTGTTTAATAAGAGCCGCTCGTAGAGCTTCCCCAGGCAACTGAGGAGGCTGATGGGACGATAGCTAGAGGGCTGGTTGGCTGGTTTATTCGGCTTGCGAATGCCGATAACCGTGGCTTGTTTCCAGTCGTCCGGAAAGGAGCAACTGGAGAGTAGAGTGTTGAAAATGGTCGCCAGTAAACAGATAAGCGGCCCAGGGAGAGCTTTGAGAATTTTGTTACTGATTTTATCTGGGCCCGGGGCGGATTTCTGTTTTAAATTTTTAATAATATCTTTAACCTCTTCGGGGGTCACTGAACTTAAAGGATCGCCTTCCGGTGGAAGCGCAGCCCTAGTCTCGATTACACGGTCCACCTCCGTTAGGTGGACTGTATCGGTGTTTACGCGCGATGGCGTACATTGCTGCTCTAGGTTGTCCGCAAGGCATTCGGCTTTTTCGGAGTCATCTAGGGCTACTGAAGCGCTGTTAGGTCTAATTAATGGCGGTAGAGATTCGCGGGGGTCTGCTTTCAGACTGCGGGCCAACCGCCAGTAGGCGGTGTGCGATGGCTCGATGTCCTCTAGGAGAGTGTCCCACGTTGTATGTCGGTGTTCCGATACACGATCTTTGACTTCTAGCTGAAGGCGTCGAAGTAGGGTTCGGTTCGATTCCGATCGGTATCGGTCGAAGCGCGTTTGGCTGCATTTTTCTGTCTAATTAGTAGTCTTAGGTCGGGCGGAAAGTTAAACCGTCGGTCGCCCGACAGTTTCACCGTCCGTTCCGAGTCTGTGACTGCGGAAGTAATGGTTTCTCGGAGACTTGCTATCGCTCGATTTGCGTCATCAAACGTAGATATCGTCTCGGGTAGTTCGATTAAGTCCTGGGGGTCCAAGGCCTTGAGTTTGACCTCAAGACGATGCCAGTCCACTACGGATTTGGTCGGAGGGACCGCGCCGGCGTTCTGGCCCAGTTTACACAGGACGGGCCTGTGATCTGAATCTAGTTCGTGGATTGTCTCTATCGACTCGATGTCGAGCGAGACCTCCTTGAATAACATGATATCTAGGATACTCGGTGTCGCATGTTGGTAGTTGTCCACCGTAGGATACCTAGTGGGAGTCGCAGGAGCGATTATGCTAAAGTTTAAATTATCGGATAAGCTAAAGAGATGCTTTCCGTTGTTATTTGGGATGCTGTGGATGTCCCATGAACCGTGTTTGCAGTTTAGATCTCCTGCAATTATCACGGAAGGGCCTAAGTTGAGTAGCGTAACTAGGTCGCTTTGTAATAAGGTTTTGTTCCCCGAGAGGTAGGCTGAGACTAGTACAAGCGGCCTGTGGCCGGTGAGCGCTAACCTACACGCGGATGCCTCTATTTGACTTAGCTCTGGAATGTCGAGCGGGCATAATAAATTAGTGTGCCTCCCAGACGGTTTGCTAACCGGTCGTGGCGGACAATATTGTAATTTGCGATTCTGGGATCGCGTACACTAGGTTTCAAGAATGTCTCTTGCACTAGAAAAATATCTACGTTATAATCGCGAAGGAATTCCGCGATTTCGTCCCTTTGACCCTTTATGCCGTTTGCGTTGAAATACGAAACAACCAGAGCCCGAGGTTTTGTTCTACCTGCGGTTGTACTTCCCATTAAGGTGTTTTTATGGGTCTAATTAACGACGCGGCGGAGCGCGGTTTTATTGCGCGGACTATTGTCTTTTACGGTTGGCTCGTAAAAGCCCAAAGGGCTTCCACAAGCGTTTTATGTTGGCTAATTGCCCTAAGACGCTCGTGGCCAGATGTGGCGGCCGCTATTTTAGCGGACAATACGGCGAGTTCCTGCCTATTGATCCTATCTAATAAGCTGCAAATATTAGCGATTTGCGATGAGAGGCGGGCAGCTGTTGTGCGATCGGTCGTGAGGCGACCGGGATTACCGGCGCGGTTACCTGCGCGGCCACCTGGGGTTTCGTCCAGGCGTTTGTGACGGGTACGGGCGCGGGAATGAATCTAACGGGCGCGGGTTTGGGCAACGTGGATTTCGCGGGAGATTTCCTCGCGGGAGTTTTTGGGGCCTTAGCGCAGCCTCTGTAGCTAGCCGGGTGGCCGGTGGCGTTACAGTTTACGCAGTCCGGTGGATCTGCGCAATCTTTCGGCCGCGTGCACTCGGTAGTGCCGTGGTCACCGGTGCATTTGACGCACCTTGGGTGAGCGAAGCAGTTATTGGCCGTGTGGCCAAAATGCTGACAGTTGTGGCACTGTGCCACAACACCTGACTTACGCGGGGGCTCGATGACTAAGTCACTGAGCCCACAGACCCTCTTCAGGTTGAAGATGGCCTTACCTTCCGGGGTAGGGTCAAGTTCAACCATCACCATGTCCATAGGGACACGGGTTCTGGGGTGTCTGAGGCGTCGGACGGCATGCACAGGGTATCCCTGAGTGCGGATGTCGGTTTTCGCCTTGTCGACATCCGACTCTTTGGGGACGCCCTTGATAACTACCCGAAGCTTGCGTTCTTCGGGCAACGAGTAGGTGTGAAAACCTATCTTATTTTCGCGCAAGTATTTCGTTACGCGGCGGAAATCGTCCGTTGTGTCAAGGTATACGCGGATACCCATTTGTGTATTTTTCGACCGGGGGTCGCGGATATTGTGGCGTTCAAACCACGAACAAATTTGGTGCCACTTAGCCTTCTCCTGAATGATGATGGGTGGAGGAGGCTTTATTTTTCGCTCGGAGGCGAATTCGGGCATCGGATTAGCCGCCGCGGCCGCCTTTTTAGCGGGCGTCGCGGTTGACGGATCGTTGAGGCGGCCTCGCATTCGGGGTCGCTGTCGGTAGCGGGGGCGTTTCTTGCCCTTTTTACGCGATTTAACGACGGTGAAGCCGTCGGCGTTCGCGTTTTCAGCGGGAGTCGTTTCGACCTCCATGTCCGATCCGCCGTCCGATTGTGAGTCAGGTACGACGGAGCGAAAAGAGGTCGGGTTTGGTTGCACGGAAGGTGCTATGGGCGGGTTCGCGTTAGTGGATGCCGACGCGACGGGGGCTTCTAAGGTCGCGGAGGGCGACGGCGTAACGGACGCAGACGGCGCGGGAAATGGCGGCGGCGCGAGTTCAGCTACTTGCCTATGCTCGGCTGCATAGGCAAGATAACGTTCCCACATAGCGGGGCATTCTCTGCGTACGAACTCCTCGAAAAGGGAGCCCATCGCGACGTAAGGGCCTTTGGGGCTTGTAGCCCCGCCGGCGTGTTTGAGCTAAATAAGCCTCCCCACCTAGCGGCAGGGAGGAGTGTGCCTAAAAATAACAGCTAATTTGCCTGCGTTTTAGGTGCGCGAGGGTGGATACCTAGCTGTCGCCTATTGCAACAAGCACACAGTAAATAATAATAAATGAAACAATGCCGCCTCTGAGGCGAGAAATGTGTGTAGGATTCTACTTACAAAACAGGAACCTACACGAGCACAACACTACCAACACTAACACTAATCTACTGCACTATTTGCACAAGATTTAAATTGCAACCGAGGTTGCGAGTGGCGTCTAATTCGGGTGGCATGTGCCCTCCGTCTTAGAGAGACGTCCGTTCCGTACGAGAGCACGAAGCGGAATGACATTTTTCTGCTTGATGCACGGTGACAGATTTGTCACCTTACGTTGAATTAAAACGTTATTAGCACTTAATACGAGCGTAGCCCCTTTTATCTCTGGCCACCAGGATTAGAAGACACATTTGTACAAGCTTGTTCTTGTACTATATTATACTTGCACTTAATAGGAGGGCAATCATATAAGAGATACAATTTTTTTTAAGAAAGACTCTGGTGTATTACACTCCCCATACTTCGTGAGATCATAGTTTTCGCAAACCGACATAAGTTTTTGTACGTATGCACACACAGAACTAAAACTCAGAACTAAACTAAACAGTTTAGGCGAGGAATATTACGCATTAAATTTTACCATTAGCACTATAACAAAGAGTAAATTGCTTTTGTATGTATCTCACATCAATCATCGATGTTGTCATAACACGTCCAGTGTCAGTATATAAATATTTTTTTCGGGGACAATTTCACACATTCTCACTCTAGACTGTGTCGGCTATAAAAGATTCCATATTAAATATGGTTGCCCATTTATTTAAAAGTATGTGTTATACCAGCATTTTGGCATTTGTTGTGGTAAGTGACGAAATATAATAGAATAATACTTTATTTCCTTCCTGTATAAATTTTAGATATCACTTATAGAAATTAACTTTCATATCATAAGTTTACCATCAGAATTTCGACGGGTTTTGTTTTTATGTTATGAGTTCTTGAAATTAATTTATAGCACGTAGAATAGTACCTTTATTTCTGCTTAATGGTGTGCTGTATTGCAATAATCATGAGATTAAAACGATTGAGTTCATGTGCAAAAAAGTTTTTAAACACTACAACTGGCATAAAGGAACAGTTTGCATAACTAAACATATAATAAACATGTATAATAGCTTTTCATGGTTGCGTTGCGTATAGTTTTTGGTTAAAAAACTGTATATCAAAGTCATCCATGTTGTTTTTTCATTCAGTTAGTACTTATAAGGAGTAGAAAAACTTATTTTAATTAAGGTTTTTAATATTTTTTATGACAAAGCTACACGCACTGCCTTGATTGATGTCCTTCAATTTAATAGAAAATCCACGTTAGTAACAAGATTACGCCATATGGTTTGTAAAGCAGTTTCATTCATCATTTCAGTCATAATAAAATAAAACATTGCCATTGCTCTTTGCGAGTATTTTTATGGGGAAAGTAGAACAAAGGCGTTTTCTTACCCAGACTCACAGCGGCTCCCAAGTTTTTAGCCGCGCCGATGCGAATCGGATCATGTTTTTGTTTTCTTTGTTCGTGTTCCGAAGATTCATTACAGTCACCTAATGTGATAGGCAGTGGGCTGGACTAGCCTCTCGCCTAGTCTAAAATTGAATCGCTGTAAATGAATACCTATTATAGAGAAAAAATCTTAAAATAAGGAATTTAGATATTGAATACGATGAAAAAATGATGATATTTAATAATATAAAAAACCTCTTTAAAATGTAGATCATTTCGAATATTTGATGATGAAATTAAATAAGACTTGAGTAATGATTGATTGTTATTATAAACAGAATGATTATCAAACAACGTGTGTTGTTGTAGAAACTAGACTATAAATTCTTTTCGGGCGAATAGTAAATATTTATAATTAGCATAGTAACTAAACATAAAATATTACTATTTCAGCTTACTGTCTGTTACAGCTTACTGACTGTCGGGTAAAGTTTAGTTTTGAGCCCATTTTCTAATGAAATATAATGTCCACATAACATATACTTAAGCAGATCAAATCAAATCAAATCAAAATCATTTATTCGAAGTAAGATTTTTTCAAATTGTTTTTCGACGTCTTATAATTTGTCTTATAATATATGTCTCTCATGCGGTGCTGGAGTATCGGAACACCAAGCCTCTTTGTCATTTAAATAATCATCTAACTTATAATAAGCTGTTTTAAACAGTGTCTGCTTTACAATAAATTGGAACTTTTTGTCCGGTAGATTTATAATATCATCAGGAATTTTGTTGTAGTAGCGCACACAGAGCCTCACGAATGAAGTCCTATCCTTAGCTATTCTACAGCGAGGAAGAAAAAAATAATTCTTATTTCTTGGATTACGGTCATGAATATCAGAATATTTAATAAAGTAATGGATATTTTTCCTAACATACATAATATTTGCAAATATATATTGACATGGAACCGTGAAAATGTGTATCCTCTTAAATATTTTTTTAAGCGAGTCCCTACATGCTCTAACAGCTCTCTTCTGCAAAATGAAGATGGATTCAATAGCAGTGGTGCCTTTTCCTTTACATTGGAGATTCCAAGTAATTTAATTTATAGTAACATTTTATAGTAAACGAGGTCGCTAACTAATTTTATGATTACTCATTTATTAGAAATTTCGTATAGTTTCTTATGATATCCATTTCATCTGAGGTAGAGCCACACAGCATCCTTTACTGCTTTACGAAGGGTCAGCTCATTTGGGGAAACGAGAAATAGGTACTCAGTAGAGTAAATTTCGTCATCGTAACTGATACCCGCGTGCATTATGGATATCCAGGGTGTTAATCGCTCAACGTAAGGTAACCTTGTTTGTAACCGTGTCTCATAAAGCAGTGTATAATTTTCAGGGTGACTCATTGGAAAATCTGCAGAAGACCTACACTGGATATGTTATGGAATGTGCAAGATACCATCCCATTACGGCGGAGGACATTGCGCAGTTGCAAAAACGAGTGCTACCTGACAAGGACTCAATAAAATGTCTCTTCGCGTGCGCATACAAAAAGGCTGGCATGGTAGTATTATAAAAGACATTCGGTTCATAAATACAACTTTCGAAAATAATATATCACATACACTTTCAAATTACATACGGCCAAATATTGGAATCATCCACATTTCCCATTATTGACACACAAAAAACGGCCAGCCTGTCAATTTATCATAACCTAATAACATAATATTTGGTGAACATAATATCTGGTGTTTCGAATTTGTTTCGCGGAGTAGTAACTTGAGAAAATTCCAGCTTCCGCGAGTTTCCGGTTTTCCATAGCATATTTTGTACATAGAAATGGATTGCTGTTCGTTAGTCTCGCTAAAACTGGAGAACGACTGGACCGATTTGGCTAATTTTGGTTTTGAAATATTTGTGGCAATCCAGGGAAGGTTTGAACGATGACAAATTATGGAAAAATTGCATGGAAAATATACAGCAACAATTTTATTTTCCCATACAAACTGTGCTTGTCAACTTGTCAAACGATTTTTAAACGCGTTCCGATTCCTTAAAAAAAGTTTAGTCCTAAAATTAAGTTTAGTGAGGTTATTATACATTTCGGTAACGTGAAATAAAGAGACAGACAACCTTTATATAAGCTACAAAAATTATCCGTAAGATAATCGTCACCCACAGATTTCTGAAATAGATTAGAAAATTGTTGTAACGTTATAATGTACATGCAAGCGCAAGGTCGTTTTTGATGACTTCACCAATTACATGCTTGACGCGCTTCGGACAAAGGCTAAAAAGTAATTTTTAAGCTTGTTAACCGGAAACGCATTTTGGTATCATTGAGTTTAATTCCTTTTTTTATATTATGCATACGTGGTTGTGATTTTTTAGAGTTTCGAGGGATAAAATAAAGAGCAGGTTAAAAATCAACATTTGGGAAAAATTATAGCACTTTTTAATAATTTTTTTTCAAGTTCGCCAACGCCTCTTCTTCACACTGTATAATATAACATACTAGCTTTTCGCCCGCGGCTTCGCTCGCATTGAATCCCTTAAATAAATATCTTTCAACCCACTACAAAACTTTTTTCCAATTAAAAACTAGCCTATGTCCTTTCTCAGGCTCTAGACTATCTGTGTATCAAATTTCATTTAAATCGGCTCTGTAGTTTTGGAGTAAAAGCGAGATAGACAGACAGAGTTACTTTCGCATTTATAATATTAGTGTGGAAGTATGGATTACCAGCCAGAAGCGTCCATACCTAATTTCATTACCAATTACAATGTATATATTTCAAATAATATTCACAGATGGACGATGAGGGCAAGATGTCCGTTGAGGGTTCCCAAGAAATTATCCAGAAATATTTAGCAGACGATCCAAATACATTGAAGAAGGCCAACGATTTCACAAATGCCTGCAAAAGTGGTACAAATGCATACATATTTCATCTTACACCTCACGTTCACACATCCAGTTTTTCACGCAAGGACGTAATTTTTCTATCCACTGCGGATACCAGCTTATTTAAATATCACATCAATTTCCTTATTAAAGTTTCTTCTGGAATACTCTTTTTGTTATTTCGTATATTATATACACGGCCGGTTAAAGTACTATTTAAAGAAGTTCCTACTAAAATAGAACTGCATGTGACTTGCGGTTTTACTTTAGTAGGTATACCTCCTTTCCAATCTTCTATATTAATCTCCAGCTGTGATAGTTACAATTGAAATAAAATGTAAACACAATTTTATTCGAATCTTTATTTCTAAACTGCGGTGAGAAGTAATATTAAAATGAATTAATGTATATACTTTTGCCGTAATAAAGTTTGTTACGGTGGTTTAAATGCTTGTTTGTATTAGTTATCATGTATTAGTTATTCAACTGTTTGTAAATACTGACGGTTTTATGTATCTGTCAATTACTTCTTTATAGTAAATGATGAAACCGTAAGCGATGGAACAAGAGGTTGTGACAGAGCTGCATTGATGTTTCATTGCAGCATTGAAAAGGCAAACGAGGTTTGTAGTTTTTTTATAGACTTTGAAGTTATAAGTGTATATAAAGAATTTATCACCTTAATGTACATAAAACTTGCGATAGCAGCGAATTTTTTCAACTACAATAATATATTATTTCTTTTAAGTTTTATAACGTGATAAATACATTAATCGTATAAAATATAAAATATCGTAATAAAAGATCTTCGCTAAACTTTTCTATTAGGTTTGGATTCGTAAGTGACATGGCGATTGAAAAATCAACAAATGTATTGTACCTAAATTTTAGCTTAAGGCTAAAAATTATATTTTGCTTAATTCTATCAAAGTATAAATAGATTACAACGTGTAACGAGATTGAGATAGAATGTAACTTTCAACCCAATGAAATAATACTATCCTTGCTGTTTTCAGTTCAAAATATTGTTTTAAACGTGATCTTCATGGAAGCTGACCATACCGTCTAATGGACTCTACATCGGTTTCACAGTGTATACAAAGTATTGTTAGTCGTTACTGTAGTCGCAATAATTTTATATTAGCTAATATACCATAGTATATTAAGGTTTTAAAATAAAGTATTATAAGTAAATCTTGTTTTATTATAACAATGATGATGCTTCCTATTGTAAATATTGTTTTGATTGTTGATTGAATATCAACATTATCATCATCATCATTTCAGCCTATTTGAGTCCACTGCTGAACATTGGTTTCTCCCAGATCAGACCTACATACATGGACTTACGCAAATTTGCACAGATCGTCACTCCATCTAGTGGGAGTCGTCCAACACTGCAATGGCGATATGTAATATGTATTATAATTTTAAAGCTATATTATAGAATATATTTAAAGCTATATTATATTATAATTACTGACATCTAACGCGTGCCATTAATATAAATTAGGATATAATTGAATCGTCATCATCGGCGACTTCATCACCGCTTAGCAATAGTGAGGTGATATAGTTATGTCCTAGGGAGTTTCGGTTAAAGGAATCACATGACTTTTTTTCATTATTAGAAAGGAGATATTTTTTTTATATAATGGAAAATATTTGGATATACAAAAGCGATTACAGTTTTTTTTACCCAAAAACTGGCGCTGGTGTTTGACTACTATTTCACTAGTAGAAGTAAGATGCTTGTACCTAAACGCGTGTCTGTGGTGGAACCCGTCCGTTTTAAGAAGTCGTCAAGGTATCGTTTAATTATTGACTAAATGAAATATCATTCTTTCAATGTTTTAAAAACAGTGCTCTAAACCTAAAACTTTTTTTAAAGTTTTAGTATCGCTCTACCTGCCTTCTCTACTTCCATACTAAGTGTGAATAATTTCTGTAATAGTATCCTAATTCACAATTCAGACCTTTTCTATACCGAGGAGGCATGGAAGCCGTGGCAGATCCAATGAAAATTATCCACTGGAAGTTAACCAACAAAAACAATTAGATTTCTAAGGTGCAGAGATTACAAAAAGCCATATTTCAATATTTACATATTGGTTTAAGAGCATGCCCTTTTTCTAGTCATCTTAACAAAAGAATCATATTATTGACTTCACGATTTACCATCAAGTAATCATTACATAATAATTACTTGCTGATGGAAGCTTCTGCATTGCTGTAGTAATCCGTCTAGAACATTGATTTTCATTTACATTCATTTCCATCAATAAATTTTAGGGCCCTGTACCATTTTCCGTCACGATGGCAAGATAACCGCCTTGACTCTGATCTCTTTGCGATGACGGCATTTTGGCTGTTTTAAAATCGCTCACTCGATGGACGCTCTTAGGATTCGAGGTGGCCATGGTGAAAGTAAAAACACCTTGAATTTATGTAAACAATTAAATTCGTACCAGGATACCGTGATTTGAACGCAGGTCTACAGGAACTAAATTAAAAGGCCGTCAGGGACTGAACTACCATAGATTTACCAAATACTAACGGGCAAACTGCTATTATTATACCTAATTTAATATTGTAGGAAATGCAATTATTTCCAACCGCGAAATATGATCGATTATAACAAACTCGATGTTGGAATGATAACTTAAATTGGACATTGATGGTTCAGGTAACATTAATAATGTCAAGTAGCGTAAAAGAGTCAGCACGTGGTTTTGACAATAAAATAAAGTATGTTACTGCCTTAAATTAAAGTACATAAGTATTTTTTGAGTTTAAAGTTAAATCGTAGACGTTAAATAATAGTGTATTTAAGTTCAGTGGTTAATGTAACATTAAAAAAATGGGAGTGGCAAAAGTGTTAAGTTTGTTATTAACAATGTTTCATTTTTGCAGTATTGTACACGTAAGTTTTTTTTAATTAGGGATTTTTTATTTATTAAAAATTATTTCACAGTCTTTATTATAGGTAAATAGAATTAATATAAAAAGCACGCCAAATAAATACTACTACTTTTACTTTTTATTGTTAAAGTTAATATTAATCCTTCATATCTTTATTTTTTTTATATAATAACAAGGAATCTCCTGAAAAGAAAAATATCAATTTGCTTAAAAGAAATTGTTTTTGAAAAAGGAAAAATGAAAAAAAAAAAAAAACACGATATTATCCGAAGAAATAACCTTACATTTACAGGGTTTGACTGAACTAGAAATCAAAAAAGAATTTATAAAAACTGTAATGAAGTGCAACACAGAAAATCCCGTCGAGATGACAGAGCTCTTCCAATTACAAGCTTTAAAAGTACCAAAAAAGAAGCAAACCAAATGCCTTCTGGCATGTGCCTACAAAAAAGTTAAAACTGTGAGTTACTCAAATGAACTTTAAATTAAATATGTATTTATTTATTAAAACATGTAGAAAATTTATGTATTTATCTCCCACCGCAATATTTTCATAGTTATATGCATACTGATTATCTGCATACTTTGGAGCTAACATCGTCTAATGAGAGCGTCTGGTCTATATGTCATTGTGCGACTCACCACATCACTGTTTGACGCGGAGCGTCGTCTGCTAACTTGGCCATTGCTAGTTGACGCCAACCGCTACAGATCAGTAAATATATAGACGCTAGGACCATCGTGTCATAGTGTCGGCATCTTTTAGGCACGTGCGAACATCTTAAGGGGTCAATATTGTGGGCAAGTTAAGGTGCAGACTCGGTTTTTCGCAATTGGCATCTTGGCGAAAATAAGTTTTATCGAGCTTATTGCGGTGTCTCGGAATGTAATGGAAATAGAAGTCCTTTTAAAAATGATTTACAGTATTGTAGATGACAACTTTTGCTACAGTTCCTTCATGAGGATTGGTGATAAGTAAGTAGATGGTTCGCGTAACTACGGGAACTCCATTCTCGACATCCAATCGAAAGGGCCATACGGTTCCAAAGTGTGGTGAAAGACTGAAATAATATTCTGAGTCTCTTCCGAAATTCCAACTGTTTACTATTTTGCACCGACTATCACAGAATCCCGCTTCCAAGCCGGATTTGGTGCACCAGTATTTATGCGAGGTCGACGTATAAGGAATAGGTTTGGAGAGTAGAAAACAGAGTATTTACTTATTAATGGACCGCAAAACCAGCTTTTTCGATTTGATTACCATCCAACTTGGAGCTGCATTGAATCTTCGACGTGGCCGTAGTGGAAGGTTAGAATAGCCTCCCCCTCTTTCTAATCGAGGTGTCGTAAATGGGAAGTCAGGTGTACGCATGCGGGTATGCGTAGGCATTTGCCCCTCGTCAAAAAAAAAAAAGGACGGCTACGTACTTCTATTGCCAACCCGCATGTACAGCACGGAGATTATGAGAAAAACTTTCCATGGCAAATCTGGCTGATTTACGCACGGCCCCCAGTTCCCGGCCACTTTGCTATTCCTGATCAAGGCGGCGGCAGTTACGGCAACGCACCCCCGCCCGGGTTACAGTAAGTCGCCAAGGATCCTAGCGACGTATGCACAGCATACAGCTTGAAGAAGAATTCGGAGATTTGTGTGTCGTACAGAGCGGCGTACCTTACATTAAATACAAGTGTATTAATGAGTGGAGACCCCATCTCGTCAAACGTAGTGTAGGATACCCACAGACAACGGGGAGCGATGATCTTCGTCGGGTGGCTGGTAACAACGGGTGTCCAGCAGTGATTGTGATAGGTTTATGATGAACTTTGGATGACCAAGTTCGTTCAATGCGTTCACGGTGATTTGTTGTCGTCCAACCTGCATTTTTCATAATATTGAGTACTAAGATATTCCCATTAAACAGGTGGCAACGCCTTTGCAACTCCTGTGTGATGCTTGTTCATTTTCACACAATAATACTAAAATCTTACTAGCTAATAGTGGTGTTAATGGGGTGGATTGATATTATTGTAAACAATATTATGTTAAATGGAGAAATCATTCGTATAAATGTAATTTTCGGAATGGTGTATAATTGTTTTATTTAACAATTGAATTTATTATTTCAGTTTAATGATAACGGTATGTACGACTTAGAACAAGGATACAAAATAGCGGAATTAACTAAAGAAGGCGATGAAACGAGATTGCAAAATGGCAGAAAACTGGCGGAAATTTGTAGCAAAGGTGCCGTAAAACAAATGCATGTAAATTTTTGTGGTATTGGTGAATACTGTAATTTGTTGATAGTATTGAAAAATTTATTTACTGCAGTTGATTTGAGCGACGATGTACTAGAATGGCCCGAAAATAAAACTGATATCAAATCTCATTGACTCCGTAAAAATAACGTCCTCTAACCAGAAGAGTAGTAAACAGCTTTTTTATAAGCTTTTTATAAAAGGAAGTGAAAAACGAGCACGTTGTTTACCTGAAGTAAAGTGACTACTGAAGGGGATTGACGTCCTTAACCCCCCGTGGGGATGCAATCGTGATGCCAATCTTCATAGATTGGGTTCAGGTTATCTAACTCATCGATACAAATTGAAAAGTATAAACACTTCCAATTTACACCGTTGTTTTGTGAAGCCGGGGCACTTTCTCGAATAAAATTGCTGCGTTGCTCTGCAGGGTAAAAGTTTTTTTTTATGTGAGATAGTTGCAAATGAGCTGGCGATTGACCTGATGTTAAGAGATAACCGCAGCCCATGGAAATTTGCAACACTCGTAGTTTTGCAGCAATCGCATTGCCACCTTTATAAAGTGCGTCCCGGCTACCTTACCCACCAGACGAAACGCTGAAGTGTAACACTTCTACTTTACGCCGGTCTTCCGTGAGCTTGTGGTTACTTATGTGGACGGACCTGCCCATTCGTGTAACAGTGAACACTGTTGCAAGGCCCTACCACAGGTAATCGTTCTAAAGTTTGCACAAATCAAAAAAAAAAACTTATCTTTACAGTAAATGACATGGAAGTGACTGATGGTGACAAAGGTTGCGAAAGGGCTGCGTTTTTATTTCAGTGTCTCATTGAAAATGCTCCCAAGGTACGCGTACTTTAGTTTAATTAATGAAATGAATAATATTAAAACCCACACTGTTATGGAGAGATGGAACGGCCAAAAGCTACCTAATTCATGTATTACATATTATCATGTATTTCATATTCAAAGAGTCAAGAAATACGTGGCGTATTTTCCGGACTTATTTTTTGGTTTAATTAAGAGAAATAAAAACACAAGCTTTAAAATAATATTACACTATCTTCAAAATATTTTTTTTGTTATTGTTTCGAAAATATGCAGGTTTCCTCACGATGTTTTCCTTCACCGCGGAGCACGTGATAAGTCAGTACTTAAAATTAACAATTGCCGGCACCCGGGATCGAACTCAGGTTGCTCAAGTATATTGTATTGAAATTAAAAGTGATTGCTCGGACCAGTATCCCAGTGGATATCACAGCTCACAGTCGACATTATACATATCTTAAATAACAACTCTTATTATTAGAATTTCTAACTCAAATTTACCAACCAACCTAATTTATAAAAAAATGTTCAATTGAAACTTATTTAAAATATTTAACTAAACAATAAATAATGATACCAATATTTTCCCAAAAATTCTGCTTCCTGCAAACGGACGTGGTTACAAATTTTGGCCACTGTAATCCGTGCTCAATTCCTAATCTAATTGTTTTATTTTTATTTTTCAGTTGGGTTTCAAAATCTAATGGGTGAAGAATCATTTCCCTTTGCAATGTTCCTTTCTTCAAAGCACAATATTTGACATAAACTTATGTTTACATATAGATAATCTTTTTTTTAACTACTTACATTTGACCTATTTAAAGATGCTCTAATTAAGCAGATACGAATGGCCGTATGATGTAAGATCGTCTTTGTAACGACTTTTTTGACAATTAAAATCCAACAGTGAAAATAAAGAAGCTTCTTTTGCTGGTAGTAAATACTTCTACCTATATTAGTATATAGTTGAAGTTTTTTTACTTTCCCTATTTACTTTCTGCAGCTATCTCTGAAGTGCTTTGTGATGGATCCGCTTCCATAATCGCCTGTAATTCTTCATTTTCCACTTTGGTCTCCGGCCGTTCACAGGGTTGGTTCTGAAGGTCAAAATTTCCAGAACGAAAACATTGAAACCAAAAACGTACCATGCTTTCTTTTGCGACACCGTACACATCATTAATTCTTCGAGCTGTTTTTGCAGCACGGGTGCCACGGTAGAACTCGTACTCTTAAATATACCAATATTTTATGTTTTCCATTGTGCGGTAATAAGCGACGCGAAAGAAAAAAATAATGAGGAAGCAACTAATGAATGACTGTTGTCAAAACTCAAATGTATCAACTAAATGAATTTGTAAATTTAAATTTGGAATTATTAACCAAAGAGGAGATAATTCAGATCAAAGTGGTCAGTACGACAAAACGCAAATTTCAAATCTAAGGATCTAATAATTTCTAAAAATGTTTATTTGCCAACGTATTATAGCGACATCTAAGACATTTTATCTGCACTAGCCTAAATTAACATACATTTTTCTTAACGTACCGACGCATCGTATTTAGTTACGGAATAACTGATAGATGTCGCTATATTGGTTCATAAATGAAATAACTTGAAAGAAAAATCAATCTCTAAACTAACCCGTCAAAAATATAAGATAGACCAACATAATGAATCTTAATAGAACATTTTATCGGTTACATTGTACTAGATTAGTATAGTCTGTTATACAGTACATTATTATGTAAGTATATGATACGTTTATTGAAAATGTGAAATCGAATGTTCAATTCTTTTCTCTATAATAAAGTAACATGCACCTGTAGATATTTCTTTAAGAAATAATTTATTTTTCTGCTCTAAACTATTCACACATTGAATCGGCTCCGGTACCTTTGTTGATAAATTATGTGTAAAACAGAGGACCCACATAGGCATGGTGGTGCGTAACTGCGTACAAAAAGATTACAGATACACTCACACATACGTTAAGATCATCGGAGCAAGTTTTTAAACACCCTACACCGGCGCAAGAGTTTACGCACACATGGAAAGGTCAATAGGTAACCAACTTCATTCATCGCCGCATTAGCCGGCCGGACGGCAAGTTACGTATCTTAGTTCCAACTTCACTCCTTTTGTAAATTACGAACCGTATGATCGGCGATAGGCGAATGTGCCCGTTGATGACGTTTCGTGAACAACAGTTTGTGTGATGGCTTACAGCTTGTTTTGTCAATAGCACTATTCTATTGATTGTTTGTATTGTAATACGCACGTGTTGGTCTTTGTATATCAATGTGTTTGATTTGTTGGTGTTGTGCAGATGTCGATGTGGAGAATTAAAGTGAAATTTCGTGTGTTTACAGTGGCTCTTGTGTGTGCTTTTTGACATTTAATAAAAATAATTCGTCAACATCTTTAGGTAAGTTTTTACTGAAATATATTAGTGACTTATTGGTCGGCCTTATAGAACTTTTATAAAATAAAAAAGAGTACATACATTACCATTACAATAAGGTGCAATCGAAGAATAAAATCATCGTACAAAACCAAACATATGAAACAAACATTCTCATAAGAATTCTTATTCCTATTTCACTTTCTGTTTAATATTTTTACCAAAAGCAACAATAATAAACTCAATTTAATACTGTAAACTCAATTTTTATGTTAACGTTGTGAGATTTTTAGAATATTTATTATGGTTTATTTTAAGCGGTATTGGAATAAACTTTACATTCTTCCTAAATTTATCTCTGTGGGTTATATTCAAACCAACATTAAAGTCTCTTACTGCAGTCAGAACTGTAGAAGCGACGTTTTCTACGCTTTGTGTATTAGTTTTCTTCAAAACGCTATTATTAAGTGTAGTAGTATTTAAGTGATTTGAAGTAGGGCGTAGAATGTCTTCGAACCAATTTGACGCCAAATTCTTAGTGATCTCTTGTTTTGGAGACCATTTCTTGACGTCTACATCATCTAGTCCCGTTACTTCTTCTGTGTCGCGTCTCTTGCGCCGACCGGAGACGACGCCTAGTTGGAGTAATATTGGGTTGCTGACCAGTGCTGCTGCAGCCCCAAGCAAAGCGATTCCCGCTATTGGCCATAGAAGTGTTTTGGCTGCCAAACTCTATAACATTAAAACATTGATGTGTAAATTTAGCTTATTGTTTCATACACGTTTAAATTTTTGTATTTCATTACTTAATATTATTAATAAGTATGATTGATTATGTTTGGCTTTTTGACAATATGTTGTATTAATGCATGTACGATATTATTTACTTTAAGATAATTATGATTTCCATAAAAATATGGATTTGAATTGAGAAGTTATGACTCTTTATGTAAGTCATATTTTACAAAATGAGCGTTACGACAAATGCATTTGAGTAGGCGAAGTTAGTCTGAATATTAATCCAGGTATAAACTAAACAAAATGTATTACAGTAAGTTTGTGTAGGAGGAGTTCAAGGAATTTCTAATACGGTTATTGGTTGCCTTGTTGCTATTGCTACCGTAAATGAAACGTTTGCGCTTTCGAAATTTGCAAAATTAACAACTCAGAAACTGTAATCCTCATTAATCAGATCTTGTTAGATGTCTGTCATTAGTAGAAGTAGAGAAATTAATTTATGGGAGAAATTTGAATTTTGTAAATTTAAAAATGATTTATCCATTTTGTGCGTAATCACCAAACCAACCTTTTGCGTAACCCATGTATTTGTTACACATGAATTTTATCTAAATCTTACGATATAAAACCCAAAAAGCATAGATGAAGAAAAAAATACCGTTCACTCACATGATCATAGTGTTTGTGATGATAACCGACGTGATGTTGACCGTGGTGGTTGCCTTGATGATCAGGGTGAAATTGCACTGGATTTTGGTGACCAAACCCGTGAGGACCGTACTCAGCATCATGAATGTTGTAATCGTGCGTGAAACTGTTTTGTGGGCTTTCCTCGTAATCATGTAGTCCGTAGTCTAAAAAGGAAGTTGAAAGTTGCTTCGAATGTTGTTTGTATACAACAGTGAATATTTTAAACAGGTTCTCATTGTGGCCGCATTTAGTCATCGCTTGAAGGTCTCAAAGATGAACGTTTTGCACATCTGTCTGAGATCCTTTTTTGACAACGCACCTTCCCCAGTGGTAGAGAGCCCTTCTGTCTACCTAGTTTGTTAAGTGGTTTACTTTAGAATTTATCCTATTTATTACCTTCGAAGTTGGCTGCAGCTTGTCTGTTTACGCAGTGTTCAATAAACGAATTGAACTGAAACTGAGCTTCGATAACTTTGTCTATGGACATTTACAACATCTGAAGGATTGCAAATGCATTGCCAACCTGTAAAAACACAACGCTACGAGTGTTGCAAGTGCAACATCCAACCCATGGGTGGCTGTCACCTTATTAGGGTTATACTATATAGGTACCCTGGACGAATCGGCAGATTGGTGTAACAGCAGAAGATGTTGCTACAAGAGGAGAGAGACGAATGTAAATAAAATATTTACGGATAGTATCCCGTTTAATTTGTGCATTCTGGACGTTTCGCCACCACACCGCCATACACTAACCATGATCACAGGCCAGGCCAAACGCGATAACATTCATTAAATAGTTTTACAATGTTTGGTAATAGTTTAAATTCAGCGAATCATAAAGCTATATTGTAATAAAATGAATTTATTCGATTGATTACATATTATGAATTTCTGGGTTCATCCCGTGAAATCTATAAGTTTTGAAGATAACAAACATCATTTCTACAATGGACAGAATAAATTGAGTTTGATATATATCACAAACACAACTGTCGGATATTATACCAAACTACAAATAATTATTAATGAACCAGCGAAACAATTTCATTCTTAATATAAATTAAAAAAAAAGAAAGCATGAACATGTAAAGCTTTTAAATCAGTCAAGCAAACGTTTATATTCCCATTTAAATTCTTGCAATGCCTTTCATTCAAAATCGTTTTAGCCTGGGGTACCATAAAATAAAAAGGGATTCATCTTGAAATTTAGACTGTACTAGTGTACCCAACAGAAGTTATCCTGAATATACGTCTTAAATCTGACAACAACTTACAATTAAAAAAAAACGAATTGTAAATCTAAACCATTCTCGAATCGACACACAAAAAATTTCATTAAAATCAGTCCTGCCGTTTAGGAGGAGTTCAGTGACACACGTCCAGAAGAATTATGTATATATAAAGATATAACCGAAAAATTTATCAACGATGCACATTACAAAGTAGAATTTGGTAATGTCTGAAAATCTCTTTTTATGTGAGAAGGTGGCAAGTGAGCTGGCGGTTCACCAGATGTGATAACCACCGCCCATGGATATTTGCAAGGGTGTACACCCAACAAATTGCGATTTGTTGGGTGTAGGGTTGCAGATACGTTCCCACCTTTTAATAAACTGGTTCACTTTACACCGGTCTTCTGTGAGGTCGTGATGCTTTCCTGACGGACTTGCCCCACCACCACTATTGAACATCTAATCTATTTAGGTGAAAAGACTTAATTTTAGAATTTAACTTTTGTCTGTTATAACTCAAATTAATAAATTTTCCCTTACCGGAATGGTGCAAGAGACCTCGGCTGTAGATTGAGCTTGAAACCTCGTTGTCGGGAAACTCCTTCTGTATCAAATATACAATTCATCTCCAATTATTAATAACGAAAATCAAATTATAGACAATATTATACATTGACTATAACTAAGTTACTTCCACTTCGGTTATTGAAAAGGAAAAGAAAAATGAGATAATTAAAACATATTAATAGGTCCATAATTGATTCCACTCCATCGTCGAGATGAAATTTTTATAGGTTTGCGCTACTTCTCGTTATTTAATTGATTCTACTTGTTAGATTAATTCCCCTAGGGGACGAACAATTAATTAATGTAATGAAATATTATTCACGTTGGCCAGATTTTTCTATCGATATAATTACGTCCAATTAGTGAGTCATGTTTTGGATACGGCCCGCTGAACTGATTTGATCGGAATTTTTTCACACGCTTCGCTATCTTAGTGAAAGATTTGGATACCTACAGCCGGAGACGTCATGTACGGTTATGCACCGTGTTATATATATTTTTATGTGAAAAGGTAGCAAACTAGCTGGTTCACCTGCGATTTAGTGATAAACGACGCACATGGAAATTTGCAACTCCCGTAGGGTAGCAGTTGTGTTGCCACCTTTTTATAAAGTGGGTTTCGGTCACTAGACGAAACGCAATAGTGTAATACATACTTCCATTTTATGCGGGACTTCTATAAGATCGTGGTACTTCCCTGGAGGGACGTGCCATAGCGAAGACTGTTGGGTGTTTAAACCACAATTAAAATAAAAGTTATTTTTGAAAATCTTTGTTATTTAATTTATCCCTTCAACGTACAAGACTAAAAGTTAAAATGTTATTACACAGAGACTAAGAGTACTCGGCATTGACTTTGAATATTTTCTCTACTTTTATCTTTATCGAATGATGTTTTTCACTCTGGGGATTACGTGAGGCTTCGTCGGTTACTGAAAAAGCGAAAGCGCAACGTTAGTGGCGCTTTTTCATTATCTGTGATAAAACGAAACTCTGGTTGTAATATTGCGTGATTGATTTGTAATATATATAATGTATTCTGCAGCAGTAGGAATAAGGAATAAGCATCACAAAATATTCTACATGCATCTGTGAGACCTGCATTATTTTTGGTATATCAGGTGACCTTAAAGTTAGAAAGTGCATGAGTCATTGTTTTGGACAAGAGAATTATTCATTATTACTGAGAAACGATCCGATCTCTGACTAACGCGGGCACACGTTGAGGTCGTCACGGGAAAATGTTTCGAGGTATGCATTTTATCCCCTCTTAACAAAGGAACGGGTGTACATTAGACTCGTTGCAATTACTACGAAAAAGAGAGACAAGAAGGAAATATACATGTAAAAGATCAATAAATATATAGTTTTTTTGTGACTCGCTTTGATTTGAAACAACTTTCACTTGGTGAACTTTTTTTTACATACTTCGCGTGTTATTTGATAATAATACGATAAGAATACATCGACGCTACGAACTATCGCGCTGTTTCGCAACGCTCATTAAAGGCTATGGAAAAAATACGCGCTTTTTATGTATCGGTCGTCCGTTGACTCACATTTCCGCTTCGGCGAGTTTATCAGGAATGTGGGGCATGAGTGATATTCCCACAAGCAGACCCGGCTTGTATTTCTGCATTTCAAATACGCGCAACCGTAACGTGTAGAATTTGCTGTCGCTTTTGAATTATCGGCATTAGGCCTACGCTTTAAACGGAGTTCATTTATGAGAGCGCTTGCAAATACCTCCAGACAGCTATTAGTCGATTATAAGTTGTCAGTTGCATAGCTGGCTACATCGACTGATGGAATAAGTTGGCGGGTTGTAATCACAATAGCCAGCACAAATGTTTTTAGCTCGTTGTAAATTGTAGTGTTGTGAAAATTCGATAACTCTCGTAACAAACTTAACGTGATAAATTCAATAACATATAAATCTCGAATGAAATAAAGGATTTGGATATGGAATTGGATGGCATTGGATGCGGATATAATATGATATCGGTTTCGGTTGCGGTTATTTCGGATTATTCGAAAAAAAAAAAAAATTGCTTTCTTTAACCGCAACGATAGCGTGTTGCGATTACATAATTTTTTTTTGTAATATAGAAAGAAAATAGAAATGAATCGAAATACAAATAAATTTAAAGATTATTGTGTAAATTAAAATCTAATATATAAAATTCTCGTGTCACGGGGTTCGAACTTGAACTGCTCCGAAACGGCTCGACCGATTTTTACCAAACTTTATATGCGTATTCAGTAGGTCTGAGAATCGGCTACTATCTATTTTTCGTCCCCCTAAATGTTAAGGGGGTAGTCCACTCCTAAATTTTTTTTGATTTTTTATATAAAACTTTTTGTTTCTATTTTTTTATGACACAGCATACAAAAATACATACAACCCTAAATTTTCACCCCTCTACGCAGACGTAGTCGCGGGCAGCAGCTAGTAAATTATATTTATTTTTGAGTGTCATATTCCTTTTTTACCTTTTTTAGCTTTAGTGGAAATAATAGTGCAAAATTGAATAAAGTTATGTTCAAAATGAAATTTAAAACATAATTTTATTTAAGTTTCTAGACCACAAATTAAGGTTTTAAATAAGATTCGACTGTGGTAAAACCACGCAACAGTGTTCGCTGTTCCACAAATGGGCAAGTCCGTCCGGGTTAGTACCACGTCCTCACAGAAGACCGGCGTGAAATAGAAGTGTTACACTTCTGCGTTTCGTCTGGCGAGTGAGGTAGCCGGGGCCCACTTTGTTTAAAGGTGGCAACGCATCTGCAACCCATGGGTCCCAACCCAAGTCCATGGGCTGCGGTTATCACTTAACATCAGGTGAACCGCCAATTCGCTACTTTGTCATATAAAAAAGAAAAGCCACTTTGTGACATAAAAAAAATCTTATTTAAGACATGAAGATGGCTGATGCGGGCGTACAATTATGGAAGATCGATCTTGTAAAGATTAGATCCTTTCGTAGTCGATTACAAAACTTTAATTCGATTTTAAAAGTTCGTTTTTTATTACCTGATTGTACGACCTTACTGATAGCAGTAAGGTCGTGCAATCAGGTAATAAAAACTGATCTTCATGTAATCAGTAGTAAGGTATAGTCATTACTGCTGGTAACAAGAAACGACGATAAAAAATTTATTGAAAAATTTCATAGTGTGTCTCATTTATTACCGATTTAGCACGAAGTCTATAGGAGCCTTATACGAAATTATTCGAAACTTTATAGGTATCTGATTCTGTTACGGTTTCTAATTTGAGTATATATTTTATGTATTTCGGATATCCATAAGATTCGATTGTGGTTACCTAGGCTCTATAACATCAAAATTCGGTCACAATAAAAATTATAAAGTTATTTAACATTTTATATCGGTCGCGTTTTATATGTAAGTGACGTCAAAAACATACACATCACAAAAAATACGCATTTT